GAGAAGCAGGATTCATGGGAGGGCAAGGGACGCGTCCACCCGCAGAGTAAGGATGAGTAGCAGTCCCAGGGGTACCCTTGCATCCCTGCCTCCTCGGCCCATCCCCGGCCGCTCTCGCGGGCCGCGCCCCGTCCGCAAAGTGACGACATCATGGCCTTCCCGGGCCCTCGCGTCCTCGCCGCGCATCTTTTACGAGGCGGGTAGACTGTAAGGCACGTGCCGATGCCGCTACCTTCTCTCGGGGGGGCGCCGCACCAACGCCGCCCCCCCTCCGCAACTAAGGCCCTCCACGCCCAAGGGGAGGGGGGCACCCGCCGCCCCTTCGGAGCCCGAGCGGGCGCAGGCGCGGGGAAGGGAGCAGGGGGGAGTTGGGAGAGGAGGAGGAGGAGGAGGAGGAGGAGGAGGAGGAGGAGGAGGAGGAGGAGGAGAGAGGAGGTCCTCGCCGACGCGGCCGGAGTCGCCACGAAGTCCCGGCCAGAACGCGCCCAGGGAGAGGCCCAGGGCGGCGGGGCACGGCGGGCACAGCACACAGGAAGAGCTGGCTTACCGACGGGTGCGCCCCGCTCCTCCCCCTCCCCCTCCTCCCCCTCCTCCTCCTCCTCCTCCTCCGCCTCCTCCTCCTCCTCCTCCTCCTCCGCCTCCTCCTCCTCCGCCTCCTTATGGGCACCCTGCGAAGCTCAGAGTCGACGACGGATGTGCATCTCGATTTCTGGTAGCCCCGCTCTCAGTTCTCCACGGGGAGACTGCATACTGCCCAATCGTGGGATCACGCTGCGGCGCGACGGCGCGGCGCTCGTATGATCCGGAACAAATGGTGCATGAAACGGTCCTCAACGCTGCCTATAAAAAGAACAAAACAACTCAGCGTATATGCTTGTTGAATGGGTATCTGTTTGTGGGCGCACGCTGGCATGCACCAGAGATCGGGGATCCGCGGATCCCGCGCGCGGGCGCTAGATCCACGGATCTGGGAAGGTCACCCCCGAACATGAGGCCAGTGCCGCCTCGTTCGTCGACGCAGCGATCCTTTGCTGAAGCGAAGCCTGACGCTGCTCCACGCGTCGCTGATCCAGGTCCGCGCTTCCTCGATGCTTGCTCCCCCCAAGGACGGCGAGGGCGAGGAGGCCGGAGACAAGGGCGGCGGAGATGGCGCCGAGGACGGCGACGTGGAGGCGCAGGACGACAAGGAGTTGGACGGGCCGCTGGAGATCGACGGGCTCCTCCTCCACGTGCTGCTCAAGCGGCCCAAGGGCGTGGTGAGATCGCGCCTGTGGGCCCTGAAGGAGCAGCTGGAGGCCGAGCGCGACACGGACACGGTTCTGAAGGCCTGGGAGATCAAGGACATCCGCCTGCTCGGGCCCGGGTCAGGTGCTCCTCGCTGTTCCTCGTTGTTCCTCGTCCTCGTCGTCGTCGTCGTCGTCGTCGTCAAGTGCAGCACAAAATCCGCTCAAAACCTGTTCCCAGACCCCTCCTGAGGTCCATCTGGTGCAGCTATTCACCCCAGATCCGTTGTAGACGGTCCCTGGGCCCGAAAACGGACCCCAGAGACCAGCAAAAGACACAAAGCCTTCTCGGACCTAGAACCTCCAACTCCCTCCCTTCACTTCGAGGGGAAACAAAAAATCACAAGGACATCGGCCTGCAGGCCGCGGCGAAGATCAAGTCCTCCACGACGCCCCTGCTGACGCTGATGCGCCTCTCCCAGAATTTCCCCGCACACGTCGCGGGCCTCGCACGCAACTCCGTGCCTGAGTCGCTGCGCCGGGGCATGTCGAAACTGCGCAACACCATCCAGGAGCCGGCGACTACAATGGGTGTGGTTACGCCCGGGGTGTGGTTTGCGATCGGTGCCGTGGAGGCCCAGGGATCACCAGGTTGCGCCAAAGGTTTGATGAGCCCTCGTCAGAGCTTGGTAGAGATCTCTGTCGAGGTCCTCGCCCGCCCCCCCAGGCCACCACACCCTTTGCAAGCCACACCCCTGGAGTTGCCGAAGGACGGCGGCGAGGTCTTCAGCGTCAACAACCGTCTGGTACGCCCAGACCACTCCGACCTCTCGCTCTTCCCGATGATCAAGACCCTGCAGCCCACATTCGTCGGGGTCGAGCGCATGGTCCGCGCCGGCGCCTCCGAGGCGCTGGCGTGCGAGATGTTGCGGGAGGGCACGGGTGTGTCCCCGCCGGAGAGGCTGGACTGGCGGTCGCCGATGCTGCCCCCGACGGTGTACACCGTCAACAGGTCGACTGCACGTAAGAGTGGCCCCTCGGCGGCGTTCGGAGGAGGGGAAGGTACCCGTACCTCTACTCTTCCCTCGTTGTCGCCGTTTTGGGCCTCCTGGGAGGCCCTCGTCGCTGCCGCCGGATCGACTTCGAAATCTTGTGCAGAACGCATTCCGGGAGAGGCTCTCGGGGAGTATAGCGGCATCGGCGCTTCTTGGCTTCCCCCGGAGTGGCTCTATTGGGGGGGCGGGCCCGCAGAGAGGGCCCCGGGCCTCTGCTCGTGCGCTCGGGCTCTTGGCGCCCCCGCTGCCCCCCAAAGAGGCCGCTCACCAGAGGGCCCTCTCGCCCAGGGATGGCTCTCCGAGTGCAGCCGAAGAGGGACAAGAGGGCGGCCCGCTGGCCGCTCGCTCTGCAGAGCATGCTGTCCATGTTCATGGGCGGCCTCATCCCCGTGCGCCTGCCGCTCTACACGGTCGTCTTCACCCTGGACCCCGCGGACCCGGCGGACCTGCAGCAGGCCCTATGGGGCAGGGCACGAGAGGGCATGCACTGTCCACGCCTCCGTGTCGGCGTCAGACCCTAGGCGGCTTCACGCATGTCGCCGCTCCGTTTGCTCCGGCGCGCGGCCTGGCGTCTCGGGGAGAGCGCCTCGACCACCAGGGCGAACGCCGCCTCGGGCCCGATTGGCGTGCCGTGGGGTTTGCCGTCGTGCCATCGTCGTTTACTTGGTTCTCGGGACGCAGGGTTTGCCGTGGGTGTGCCATCGTGTCGCCGTCGTCCACTCGGGCGCGTCGAGAACAAAGGGGGGAAGAAGGAGGAGGAGTAGGATGAGGAGGAGAGGAAGGCTAAGCAGGGGGAGGAGGAGGAAGAGGGGAGGAGGAGGAGGAGGAGGAGGAGGAGGAGGAGGAGGAGGAGGAGGAGGAGGAGGAAGAGTAGGAGGAGGGGGAGGAGGAGGAGGAGGAAGAGGAAACCTTTCGAGACCGTCTAGGAGCCCGAGGAGCTTCCTGTGAGCCTCTTGGGGGTCTATGAGGGGCCTGTTGGGAGCATCGCCTGGGGCATCTTCGGGGCCTGCTGGGCCCTTCTGGAGGCCTCCAAGGGGCCTCTTGGCATTTGAAGGCCGTCCTGGGGTCCTCTCTGGGCCGTCGTGTGGCCCTCTTTGGGCGTGTCAGCGCCTTCTTGGAGGCCTATCGGCCCGTCCTGGGGCCCGTTCTGGGGGCCTCACGGGCCGTCTTTGGGCGGGCCATCATGACCCGTCTTGGGACCCCTCATTGACGGATTAGACATTCCTGATCGGGTGGGTGGGTGGGGGTGGTCGCGGTCTGCGGCAAGCCAGACTGGAGTGCATACAGTGACCGCAAGCGGTGCCAGAGACCACTGGCCACGACCGGGGACCACGGCCGGAGTCCACGAGCCACGGTCAGATGCACATAGCCATGACCAGGTACCACGGGGAACTGTCGAAGGGCCGCGCGGACCTCTTTGATCTGCCTTGGACCTCCCTGGCGGCGCTTCTGGCGCCGCCCGAGGCACGCTCCGCGCGCCATGGAGGGGGACCTCGGCGCCGATCCAAAAAGTCCACGCTGGCCTTCGGATGCCAAGGATCATGTCGTTCTCGTTTCCTGCAAGGCCGCCGAATTCCTCGAGTCGATGCCCCTGCCGGTGAACGTTCACTTCGTGATGCTCCCAGGCGGTGCACGGCCTGCTGCCGCGGCCGAGTGGGACGAGGACCGTCGCGTGATGTCCAGCCCCGAACCAAGCCTCTGGGTCGGTTTTGAGGTCGCCGCGGCGATCGCGGCGACCACACATCGGGGCGATATGTTTGTCGAGGAGTGGCATGCCCATTCCTAGGCCCCCCCCCATGCTCTGCGATGTACGTTCGGGAATTGTTGGTTAGCGTGTTCCTCCACCGGTTCTGGCCCACCACGCCTCGGCGCGACACGCCATCCGCTTCGCGGTTCCCAGAGGTCCACATGCCAGGCGTTTCCCAGCATCCCGCCCCGCGGAGCGGAGCGACACGCTATCCGCTCGCAGGGCACAGCGTGTCGCCATGGCCGCCGCCGCCACATGCTAAGCATAGTTCCTGACCGTAGATGTGGTTCGTCGTTGGCCATCCATCGGGTTGACCCGAAAAGGGGTCCAGCGACATTTCGGGCGTGCAATACATTCCGGGGCGCAGATGTACTGCTGGATTCTCGCGTGCTACACACTTACTCGCAATACCATGAAATACAAGACTCCGGCGCAATAAGTACATGTGCAATACAATTGCCCCAAATCTACTGCACCACCCCCTTTCAGCTGGACCCCTTTTCGGGTCACCCAGAATCCAGCGACGGAGCGTGGTCAGTTTTTGCCAAACGCGGACGGGCGGTCATGTTGTTGAGGCCAGAGGCCGATTATCATGCAACCAGAGGACTTCCTGGGCCAGGCCCCCGCCTGGGTCGCGAGCGCAGGGGCTGAGGACGGCGCGGCGGCCTCCACGAGCGACGGCGCGTCGGTCGCCATCGCGGCCTCCTTCGCCCACATGCTGGCGATGTCGCCCGCCAAGGCGCGGAAGTACGTCAAGGCGCTGGCGGAGCACGCCGCCCTCTTCGCGGAGGAGGGCGGCAGGTGGCCCGACACGCAGGAGGGCGTGGACAAGATCCGCCAGATCTTTGTGGGCATCCTCGGGGTGGACGACCCCGAGTTTTGGGAGACCGTCCTCTCGACAGCGACAGGGCGTGGCAGCGCCGTGGCGAACGCGACGGAGTACGTGGCCAGCCTCGGCGTTCCCGTGCCCTCCTTCCTGATCAACGGCAAGCTGATGCTGAAGGACGCCTACGAGGGGGAGCAGGGGATGCAGGCGATCTACCAGACGATCGCGATGGAGCAGGGGATGTTTCAGAAAGCGGTGTACATGCAGCAGTTGCTCTCGGGCGACCAGGCAGGATCCATGTTGACCCCGATCCAATTCGATATCGTTTCTGGTTTGCCCGATCCGATTCGATTCTGAGGTTCCGGCGATGATTCGATGCGGCCCGATGCTCGCATGGCGATGTCGTGTATCCTAGCGCGGGCAATCCGAGTCGATTTTGACTCGGTGCCGATGCGGCCCGATCCGACCCTCAGAGCTCAGAGCTGACGTTGCATTTAAGAAATCCAACATCGAGAATTATCACCACCGGAGCCCTGGATATCTTTCCAAATCATTTTGAGGGTCCCGGCGGCCGAAGTCGTTGTGACGCACGTTCCGATCCGATCCATCGATTCGATGCTGACCGAGGTCGAGGGCTGAGCGCCAGGGCTGGTTTTTCATTCCGAGAAGTTTTTTGACAGCCCCAGGGCCCGGTGAGGGCCTCCAGAGGACCGAAATTGCCAAAAGCGTCCCGATGTTGCACTTAGTCACTTTGTTCGTCGGCGGCGAGGCAGAAGTGCCTCTCTAGTGGGCGGGCGAGCGGGGCAACCGATACGCTAATTGACAGGCGTGCAAGAGTGAGGGACTAGATAGACAGGGCGGCCGCGAAGCACGGGAGATCCAGCTGTTTCACACGCGAGCGTGTCTCTGGGAGTCTAACTGATCCTGCCAGGTCGAGGGCTTCCTCGAGAGCCAGGGCTTCCTGTCGGCCTACCACGCTGACATCACCCCGGAGGTGGCTCAGCGCGGCGGCGAGGACGGCATGCCTGGGCACACCGCGGAGGTGGCCTACCTGCAGTGGCCCGGCGAGGCGTTCCTCGCGCAGCCGTTTCTGGTATCCGTCGAGCTGGAGCTCGAAGATCGGAGGCAGAAAAAGTACAGATATCGCTGCGCTTGCCTCGTTTCGGGTTCGTCGGCCCTCGGGCGCCTTCGTCGGTGCTCGGCGGTTCTCCAGCCTCGGGATGCGCTCCGGCAGCTGCGCCTCGCCGAGAGCGTTCCCGGGGTGCCCGAATCGACCCGAATGGCCGCCGGCGACCCGAGAGGTGACCCGAAAACCGAGTGACCTTTCGCCAGTGCTGACACCGCTACGCTCGCCTCGTGTTCGCCTTTTTCTGGACCTCCTGGGAGGCCCTCGTCGCCACCGCGCTTCGGAATGTTGGTCAGGACGCACCCCGGGAGCGGTCCGAGCAGCGGCGCCGGTACCTGTTGGGCCTTCATGCAGAAGCCGGGGGCCCCCAAACGGGGTGGTGACCGCACCGTGCGGTGAGCCGGTGGGGATTCGGGGTCACCGCACGGTTTTGGGGCTCGGGTCGTTCTCCGAGGATGTCTCGGGCGAGAGGGGCCTCCGGGGTCCCAACACCGTGCGTTGACGGACCGTGCGGTGAGGTCTTTGGAGATTTCGAGGTCACCGCACGGTCTGTCACCGCACCGTTTCGGGACACCAAAAGAAGGCCAAACAAAAATCGTATAGGCAAAATTTGTCGGAGGTCCGCGCGGACGCCTCAGATCTGCGCCGGGCCGCCCTGGCGGTGCTTCCGGCACCGCCCCTGGTGCACTCCCCGCGTCAGGGAGCGGGGTCCGGCGCGGATGCTAGAATTGGGTCGGGCGTGTCCTCCCACACGGGGATCTTGGACGAAAAATTCAGAAATAGTCGAGAAGTATCCCGAAGTTGTCAAAACAGGATGTGAAAATCTTCCCCAGACGATGCTTAAACTATTTTTGAATATTCCTTCTGCAGAGGGACGCGCCCGACTCAATGCTAGAATTCCGTGCGGACCGCCGAGAAGCGCTGCTTGTGCAGGTTTCCGTGCCTCCAGGAGCCGGAGGGCGACGCGGCGCCGACCGGGCGCCTGGGCTTCTACCACGTCACCGTGCTGCGGCGGCTAGGCCAGGCGCGCTTGCTGCACACCTTCGCGTCGCACATGCTGAGGCCCTCGATCAAACGACGCGAAGATCGGGACAAAATCGGATCGGGATAACTCGAAATCTCTGAGAATCGGCGGGTCTGGAGGATGTATTGGGCGCCGCGGCCGCTCCAGAGCGCTCCGGAACGCTCTGAGCGCGCTCCGGAACGCTCTGGAGCGATTTATCCCGGCCCTGTTTTACTCGAGGGAGGAACGAGCACGGGAGCGCAAGCCTTCGGAGCTCCGGGCGGATTGCTGGGATCGGCGCGCTGGCACCCTGGCTCTGTCGCTCGCGGCGGGGGGCCCAGCGCCGATCCAAGAAGTCCGTGCGCAGCTCCGAAGGGTTGTGATCACGTCTTGGCTATGCCGTCTGTTGTTCCCCTCGAGGCCCGACCGCGCGGCTCTGGATGCCAACAAGCAGCTGAAGGTACCGCAGAGAACTGCTCGACCCCAGAGAGAGCTGTGATGCTCAGGTGTTTGCCGAATG